ATTTATTCACTTCATTTTATTTATTCACTTCATTTTATTTATTCACTTTATTTTATTTATTCATTTTATTTTATTTATTCACTTTATTTTATTTATTCACTTCATTTTATTTATTCACTATTTTATTTATTCATTTTATTTACAGTCAGATTTTTAGTGTTTTTATCAAATTAATCGATTCTGTGGACTTTATTCACCGTTTCATCATTTGTGGTTAAAATGTTTTTATTCTCAAAGATGATCCTCTGTTCAAACAGCTGGTCCTGATCCAGGTTCAGGACTGGTCCTGTGTGGACCTAGTCCAGTTTTTGACTCACTTCAGACCCTTTGTAGGGCAGAAAATCCCATCTTTAAAACTAACGGCTAAATAAAAACCATTTTCTGCTCCATCGCCGATTGATGCAGAGAGCTGCTCAACAAACAGTCGTTGCAGCTAAAAGTAGCTAAAAGTGACATAAGAAGACAAAAACAGAGCCAGTAGCTGCTGCAGCATCAGAGAATGGTAAATCAGCTAAATATTTTGTAAAGTATTAGTTACCAAATGCAGCTGGGCCCATCAGCTGAACGAGCCGAGGGTTTTGATATAAAAACAGCTAAAATGGGACGACGTCTGCAGAAGTGTTTGGAATAAAACATGGAGGAAAATACAAACAGCAGTTCTGTCGTCACACAGCTGAGCTCTGGATCAGAACCGCTGGTCCTGCTGGGTTCAGTAGTGACTCTAGTGGGACCGTCGTCACTTTCCTTTGACCTTTGACCTTTGAGAGCGTCCTGCTGCATCAGAGTTGAACCTCTGCTGCTTTTCTTCTTTGGCAAAAAGCCCGTGGACCGAGGCCGGTACTGACGGACTCCCAGAGTGTCAGGACAGCTGTCAATCATTCTCTCTCCTCCTGTGATTGGTTTGCTTCTCTATTCACTCCACGCCCCCGTGCATTCAAACTCCGCCCACCAACAACCACAGCAGGCGCTCCTGTCAGCTGACACGTCATTCATCCTACTGTTTGTCCTGACCTTTGACCCCTAACATGCTATTGTTCAGCAGGCTGAGACCCCGCCCTCCTCTCCCATAATCCCTGTGATCCCCATCACGCCAATCCCAGCTGAGACCGCCGTCATCCCTCCATCATCACAGGTCCATTTTTATTTTACTGCACTTCTTCCTGTCTGTCATCCATCCATCATTCATCCATTCATCATCCATCCATC